CTCTCTCTCTCTCTCTCTCTCTCTCTCTCTCTCTCTCTCCCCCTTCAACCTCGGCACTGTTCTGTTCAAAGCTCATCAACCTTGTATTCCAAGCTTTGTGGTACTGGATTCCGAGCTTGGCACTCTTTTTGTTTCGAGCTCATTTTTGTACTCCAACCTCGGGCATTCCTGTATTCCAAGCTTGACATTCTTGTATTCCAAGGTCGGCGCTCTTGTATTCCAAGCTCGGCACTGTTGCGTTCCAAGCTCAGCACTCCTGTATTCCAAGCTTAGCACTCTTGTATTCCAAGCTCCACACTCTTGTATTCCAAACTCAGCAAGTGTGGTACTCTTTTGTTGCGAGCGTGGTAGTCTTTTCTTCCAAGCTTGGCACTCTTTTGTTCCAAACTTGTCACTGTCATGTTCAAAACATGGGACTGTTTTGTTTCCAAGCTTTGGCACTGTTTTGTTCCAAGCCTGGCATTCTTTTGTTCCAAGCTTGGCATTCTTTTGTTCCAAGCTTGTATTTGAAGCTCGTTGCTGTTGTATTTTACACTTGGCACATGTATTCCAAGTCTTGGCACTCTTCTGTACTCCAAAGATTGGTGCTCTTGTATTCCATTCTATCTCTCTCTCTTCCCCCCTCTTTCTCTCTCTCTATCTCACGCACACACGTGCTTTCTTGGTATTTTTGGTCACTCTGAAGTGCAATGGCTGATCACATAGCTCATAATTGATTGGGGTAGGCTTGAACTTATGCTGGTGAGTTAGATTTATTGTTATGGTGAGAATTTATTGTTATGGTTCTCGCCAGGGCTCGATCCTTGCCCTCTTACTGGGTGCCTACCAGACAGTCACTCTGGCATGTACTCAGGACGAGCACATTTTACATTTCTGTCCCTCTGAAGTTTTCTGTCAATGTCCTTTTGGTAGTATGGTACCCATTTATTCTGGATGTACCCTGGAGATCAGTCTTAACTGTTAGGTTGCTCCCCGGTATATATTCCTACCTGCCCTTCCACACACCTGTGGGACATCTTGTGCTGTAGTCAAGCGGAGAGTCTTGAGACCTTTGGATATGGAGTTCCACATTGCCTTTTCTGCTACTCTTCAATAGAACCGTCTGTTCATCGTCCCAGTTGAGTTGTGTGGGAGACTGAGTCGCTGTTGAGTGTGTGTGTGTGTGTGTGTGTGTGTGTGTGTGTTTGCGTGTGTGTGCTCACTCTCTCTCCTTCCTTGGCGTGTGTGTGTGCTCTCTTGTGTCCTCCTTTTCCTCATCTTTCTTCTTCCTCCTGCTACTCCTCCCCCTATTCGTCTTCCTCCTCCTTCCTTCCCTTCTTCCTCCTCCTCTTCCTCTTTGTCCCTCTTCCTCCTCTGTGTGCGGTGCGTTGTTACATTTATTTACATTTATGCTTTTTAAGAACGAGGATCTGAGGCGGATGAATGTTGTATGTCGGGAGCAAGCAAAAGCCGTCCAGCCACGACGGCTTGACGGGAGGGGAATCGGGAACGCTTCCGCCGGCGCGAGGGTGCGCTCGGACCAAGCGTTGTCTATGCCGGCAATGGCCAGCCTGGTTGACCACGACGACTACCATCGCTGTAGTGTCGGGTAGATGACCTCACCGTAACCATCGCCTTGTCGTTGGTTGTCCCATAGCCCCACGTTGGGGACGTAGGTGACTCAGTAACTAGCCGAACTCCCCCTCCTCTCTCATCCTCTATTCTTATGTTCTCATGACTAAATGCTTCGGGAGTCTCGCTCCCCAGTTGGAGACCTATAATCCACCTGGGTCAGAAAGTGAAGGCCTCAACGCCGACACACAACACTGGGAGAAGCATAGTTCAAGATGACAGACACCGAGATGGTCAACCAAAATCGCTCGCCTCCACCAGGACCAGAAGCTGCGGAAGTGGACAATGAACGACTACGCGAGTTGGCCCGCCTCTGTTACGAGGAAGGCCTACTACCAACGGACATCGACCCGGGTGAGATGCGTATTGATGGAGGGGAGGTACATTTTAAAGTCAATCATGCTATTGACCAAGTGAAGGTGACTTGGCTGAAGGAGTACACGGTAACAGTTATTTTCAGGGAAGGAGCACGGTTCCTTCCGAAGAAAGTCAAAGATGACGTGGTTCGGGCATATGAGGACGAGAAGATTCAAGACGGCACTTTCGAGGCCACGGAATTTAAGCGGCAGAATCAAGATCAAGAGTCCGAATGTGGTTTCGTATGTGGCCAAGAATTCAGTGATGGCACGTTGGCCGGTAGATAAGGGTAGAGATGAAATCACCTTAGGCACTGACACGTACGTGCTAGAATTCAAACCCTGGCTCACCAAAGCTCAATTGAACGAGCAGAGGAGAGTCACGGATGAAGCCACGTTTTGGGTCATAGCCGTCCAAGTTCCTCTAGGTGCGATGTTTTATCTCGAATCTCACATCCGGAAAGCGATTGGCCCCGTCATCTTTACCCATCCGTCGGAACCTGATAGGCTCAAACCATCACTAGTCAATATCAAGTTTGATGTAGACCCTAGCTGCCGTGATAACATGAAGGACAAGATTTGGGTCGAGACGTTCGAAGGAGATGAGCTTGAAGTCAAGTTATCATCCTCCGCAACACCACGGTGTAGACGGTGTCGGGCCTTTTTTCACACCGAAATCGATTGTCGACGAGGCAATCACGAGAGAGGCCAGAACTCAGCGGCGTCATCCCAACCAAATCAACCACCAGGCGGTCAGGGCTAGGCCTTCCAATCTAGGTATCATGGCCCATTAGGGCCCAGCACCACGGTCCCGACTCAACCTCGGAGGGAATCCACTTCCCCGGAGAACTATCCAATGGGAAGTCACGCCTCATCCTTTCACAACCCCACCTTCTCTCCATTCCTCGGACACCCGTTTCCCTATACTCCCCCGTTACAACCCAATGACCCACATCATCTTTTACCCCGGGAAGGATCGACTTTTTTCCCGTGGTTTCCTCAAGGCCTAGGGTTTGGGCGGTACCTTGGCCTACACACTGGGTTGGGAGGGAAGCAATACACACAGATGGGTGGAACGGAGTACGGACCAGGGTTGGGAGGGGCTACCCCCCAACCACAAGGAAGCGTAATTAGCAACCAAAATGGACAGAATCAGAGTCGGGATGGTGGTCCTGCAGCATCAACAACAACTCCGCTCCAAGGCGCGGAGAGACACGTGTCTCCACGACGACAACCGGTGGGCGACCAAGGGGCGACGTCAACAGGAGAAGCTTCAGCGTTGCCTCGGACCCGAAGCAACCTGTTCGGCAAACAACGGAGACTAAGCGAAGAGCTCAGCTATGCTACAGGGGGTTTGAGAAGAGGCGGCGAGGGCTCGAACGCGTCACTTTCAACTTCAGAAGGATCACAAGGTCGATGCATCAAGATCGGCACGCCCGGGAACAAAACTACCCGCCGACGAACTCCTATTTCGACAGGACGTGCAGAGAAAATGGAGGTAAAAATTCTTCCTATCTTTTGCGTAGTCGCAAGAAACTCCGTCCATTTTATTGTTTGGGTAGGACCAGATGGTAGTAGTAATCTTGTTACCCTCCCATCCCCGGACCTGCCTATGCCCGCAGCTATAGCTGCCTTGATTCGTTCGGCCATCTGTGACCAGTTCATGTTCCGTTTGATCCCTGATGTGATGATGCCGCGCTTTATTATTGAACACCCTGACATGCCGGACTCCAAACTTAAATTCTTCTGCCCCATTGCTGATGCTCGATTGGCTCCTGGCCAACTCGAGATCTTGGAAACAAACGGAATGAGACTGGCTCTGCTGACATGGCTAATTGACGGGAATAGGCAGGAACTCCGCCGCTTACAGGCGGCACCAATGAAATCGGCAGAATTCCTGCATGAACTGGAAGGCAAACTCCCAAAGGAGAAAAAATTGTCTTCCCAGTTCACGAGGAAATCTCTGACCTCACCTTGGCTACCCGATGGCAATCGAGGTAGGTGCGAATCGCATTCTAACTCCCGGATCCAACAACGAGGGGAACAATCCCAGGATGGGCAAGCTTAGGCTTGCCACATGGAATAGTCGGGGAATTGGAGACAGTTCGGGCAGACACAAGCGGGACGGGCTCAAAACGTGGATTCACAATAACAATATCCAAATCATCTGTTTACAAGAGACTAAATTAGGCGAAGAGAAAATCAACTCACTAGGCCAATGGTGGGACGGCCCCCAAATCTGGTCCCCTGCCCAGGAAACCAGAGGAGGTGTGGCTATCCTTATGCACCGAAATTCGGATATGGTTATAGTGGACTACTACGCAGATCTGTGGGGATGATGGTCATGGGTCAAAGTGTTGATGGAAGACCGCCTGTGGGTTATTGCATCGGTGTATGCTCCCTCTACTCCAAATGAACGTCCAGGATTTATAGACGAGTTGTCACATGTCATTCCAGACAGAGACGTGCTAATAATAGCGGGTGATGGGAATGTCTCTTTGGACATTTCAGCCCTTGTGTCTCAAGCCCACCTCGCCAGGGACAAAATTGCCCTGTCGAACCTGATGAACGAACTAAATATGATCGATCCCTACAGATTGTCTCACCCAGATCTACCGGGTTATACCTGGTTCTCCAACCTTCGATCTGGAATTGGATATATCAGAAGAAGATTGGACTTCTTTTTATGCTCAGCTAACACATGGGAATCCATTAACATGATCGATGAAGTTTTCCAGTCCATGTCAGACCACAATCCTGTTCTACTGAGCATACACACTCAGGGGGCTCGACGAGGTAAGGGCCTCTTCAGGTTCAACACACAGAATCTTGAAGACCCGGGCCTCGTATCCTGGATGAAAAGGTTCTGGAATGAGTGGAAACTCACCCAAGGACAATACAGGACGCCAGGAGATTGGTGGGATGCGGGCACAAATTTATTCTCTAACCTTTTGAGCGTTTTCTCAAGAATGCTTGTGTTCAACAGAAACAACCAAGAGTCATTGCTTGTGAAAAAGATCGCATATGCGGAACAGCGGATATGCCCATCCTATCTCGGGACTTGTATGGGGCAAAGAACGACCAAAACTGCTCACCGAGTGGGATGCTCTACAACAGAGGAAATCTGAAGTGTGGGCCGTTAGAATGAGATTTAAGGGAATGGCAGTTTATGATAGGATGACGAAGGAATCCTTCCAGAAACTGCTCCCCTCACGCACTTCACATCCCATGAATGAACTGGCATACCCCTTCGATGTGGATGCACCAAAGGCAAAGGAGCTCACCGAAGTATGTGAGTATGCTTCGCTGTATTACCGCGATATCTTAACTTCACGCACACAGGGAGCAAATATTGATTGTGATATGGACAGGGGAAACCAGCACTGGGCTAACACAATTGTGCGGGTATCTGCATCTGCACGCTTAAGCTTGGATCGACCAATCTCATCTGACGAAGCTTATGAAGCTCTGATGGTTATGGCGAAGGGCAAAGCCCCTGGCAATGATGGTCTTCCCACTGAACTATACCTCTGTATCTGGGAGGAGATAAAGGAACCTCTTGTTGAAATCTATAATCAGATCTTAACAGGGGGTTGCCTCTCCCCAAACATGTGCAGAGGGATAATCTCAGTCTTGTTTAAAAAGGGTGATAGATCAGATATCAGGAATTGGCGCCCAATCTCTGTCCTGAACATATCATATAAGCTTCTGACTAAAATCTTGGCTCGTCGCTTAGCACTATATCTGCCTGACTTGGTGAACCCAGATCAGGCGGCCTTCATCCGCGGTCGTTCAATATTTGATAACATTATCACAACAATTGAGACTCTTGAGGTAATCCAAAATGAAAACAGCAACATGGCTGTCCATCTGTTGGACCTTGAAAAAGCATATAACCGAGTTAACTGGTCATATGTTATCACCACTCTAAAGCCCTTAAAGTTTGGAGAAAATTTCATCTCGTGGGTGATTGCCCTGTACTCTTTGTCCACGGCGGCAGTAATGATCAACGGTAGACTCTCCAAAGAATTCCAATTGACCCGGTCACTTAGGCAGGGGTGCCCACTAGCCCCCCTACTGTTTGCCATCCAATTTGAGGTCCTCCTCAACAATATCAGAGCCAACCCTCAAATTATTGGCATGCCAACAGGCCCGACGTGGTACAAAGTCAAGGCTTTGGCTGATGATGTCTGTCTTTGAGGTTTCAGAAAACTCAGCGTTATCTTTAACCACCCTCAACGGCTGTATAGATGAATACTCCAACTACTCTGAGGCCGCCATCAACTGGCACAAGTCCGTCTTCTTCCTTCCTAGGGAATACGACTTGGAAGTGCAATGGGGCATGAAGAGAATAAACGACGACACGTCTGAACGGTTCCTGGACGTACAGATTGCCCTTCCGAACTGTGGGGAGGCTCAAGATGACATTTTGCTGCAGAAAACCCTTCACCCACTGGTCACATGGGGTAAGGCTTCCCATCTTTCTTTATTTGGAAGGGCTATGGTTTTGAACGGACCTCTCTTCGCTCTGCTCTGGTTCGTAGGCACAGTTAGAGCTTTCGGTAATCACCTGTACACCTTGATTAAACGAAGAGCACCCCGGTTTCTATGGAAACCCTACTCTGAAGAGAACGCTAGCTTCATCTCCAAAGTGGCTTGGGAGATGCTGTGTCTTCCCAGGAGCGAAGGCGGTCTGGGGATACTGGACCCCAGGAAACAGAATGATGCTATGCTGGTTAAATGGGTCATTAGAGCTTGCCTGGAATCTCCAGTGCCACACTGGGTCCACTTAGCCGAACAGATCTTGGCTGACGAGTGGAACCTCCCCAGGAGGGAGGATGTCTGGACCTGTGTTTTTCTATCTTCCTACCAACGCCGAATGATCAAGTCTCCATTCTAGCACGCTGTAATTATGGCATGGAAAAAACTCCATCCAGACTCCTGGAGTCCACCTCAAACCAAAGCTGAAGTGCTGGAACAACCCATCTTTGAAAACCCGCTCATCAGGCAGGAGAATGGAGAGTGGTTTAATGCTGACACCTCCCCTACCAGTTACGGGAGACCTTGGATAGAACGAGGGGTACTGGGTATAGCAGACATGTGGGACAATTTTGCAGGCACCTGGCTATCTGATCACGACCTGAAACTGAAACTAGGTAGACTCAGACAGGTAGAAGAGTGGAAAAAAGCGATTATTCATGCTATCCCAGAAGCATGGAAACTACTGATCGACCCAGCGGGTGTGGATCCGCCAGGCACGTGGTTCATGAACGAAAGTCATCCGGAGAACAGCTGTGGAAACTTCTACTGATACAACCTGATGGCAGAAGAATATTCCAATGTTGGGGTATCTCAGCACAGTGTCTTCTGACAGCCAGCCCAGAAAACTCCCAACCGGGGGTAGGCATGGTACTTACTCAGGTCAGAGTTTTTGAGACACGTGATAACAGAGGCAACACCTCAGGAGTCCTATTCGATAAGGGTAAACCAATCTCACAACTTAGACTGGAACCTAGAATGTGCGAATGGCGAGCCAAGGGCCCTAATGGACAGAATGTATGCCTATTGGACTGCCATCAAAGGGTAGGCTATGAATCGGCCTTGCCATACAAATGCCCAGAAGTTGTGGCAAGAAACAGATGGAGTCAGTTACTCGAGGAAGAGCCGGAGCTAATCAGCAAAGCACTGAAAAACTGTTGGGAACAGCTCAAACTGCTCCCCTGCCAACGCCAAGCAGCTACACTCTGGCTGCTCTCTTTGGTTTCTACCCCATCGGCAGTGTGGCTAATGGAACACGGGGTGAAAGTCGACCTGAAGTGCAATCGCTGCAACTGGGCCTTCGAATCAGCAGTCCACCTATGGTGGGACTGCCCTGCCTCTGTTCGCATCTGGGATTGGATAATTAATATCTGGAACAGGATCTCAGACAAAGCCTTCCAATGGGACAAACTGTGGATTTTGTTGGGAGGAATCCCAGGAAACTGCAGCATTTCGAAGGGCTGGGGCTATGTGGCCAGACGATCAGGGTGGCGGGTGTGTCAGTAATCTGGCAAGTACGGAATGACAGAGTCTTCAACGACAAAGAATGGACGAACAAACAAGTCCGCTCCACTTTCGACAGACTGTTACGTACAGCTATATTGGCGGACTGGAGAAGAAAAGTGACGAAGGCTCAGAACAGAGCCAACGGGCTATCGTGGTTTGAGAGTACTTGGTGCCTCCGTAACTCCATTGCATCGGTGGACAGCAGGCAAAAGATCATCTTGTCTCCATGGCTCTTTAAAGATGGATAAATGGTTCAAACATGCAGTACTGAGCTTATTGGTTTTGGACGGAGGTGGTGAAGTAAATCTCCACTCCTCTACCGGTTCTGTAACCATAGACTCAGAACAGTTTTGACTCGGGCCCTCATTGGCACTAAAAGGTAGCGTGGTCTGTAGAAACAGTGAGGGAGTAGGGATAGGCCACTGTATGTGGTAGGTCCCAACCTGCCCACTCGGTTGCTTGATGTCTCAGTAGACAGGCAGTTTGGCCTGATTGGGGAGGGAGTGGATGCTAGATTCGGAGAGAGGATCATTAGGTGAACCCAACTGCCGCTGTAGGCGGGGAGTAGATTTAGTCAATAGAGCAGTCTAACTCCCTTACTCGGTACCTCTCTATCTTGGGATTGTGTAGGGTGGTAGATACTGGGTTCCTCCTGAACTTTTCTATGTTCTTCTATTGTGCTTGGGATGGTTGGAAGTATTAGGTTCCATAACAGAGGAGTCCGTTAATCCCTTTCCCCAAATGTAGTGTAGCACTCAGGGCTACTCAATGAGAGGTTAATTAGGGAATTATGTTTTCCTTTTTTTGGAATTGGCGTCGGAGATTGAGTAAATGATAGGGTAATTTGTAGGCTAGTGGCTACTTGGTGGACCTGGTTCCTTTTTCCTTTCCTTTCCTTTTGGTTTGTTTCGGTGTTTCAGGCATGGTTGAAATGTTATTTCTTTTTTCTTTTTTTTACCGGGGTCGCGGAATGTCAGAGCAGCGGTCTAGTGTTGGCCACTTCTGTCTCTGGACACATACCCGGACGCCTGCACCTAAACTGGGTAATGGTCCCAGATTTTTCACCGGGTTGTTTCTGGAGGGTTTCCCGGCCTCCATATTTTTCTATTGGTAATGAACGGATCCTCTTTTCTTGTAAAAAAAAAAAAAAAAAAAAGTTGTATGTCATCTCCTTACCCCCTTTTTCTTTTTTTATTCTATTATTAATTTATTAGTCATATTGATGATCATGATTATGAATCTATGATTATTATGGTTGTTATTATTCTGATAAGTTTGCTTTGCTTACTCTATGCACCACTGTGTGGACATGCCAGTGTGAGGTTGATTGAACAGGAGCTGTGGCAAAAAGAGGAGTCGGGGGTTATCGGCGTAGTTCCTGTCAGGGATGCTCAGCCTGATGGCTCGACAGGTGCCTCTGTCCTGCAATTACCTTCGTCCTTGGTTGGGCATGGCAGCGGCAGCCCAGCAAATGGACTGGATGAGCTAGAAGGCTTGGCGGGGAAGGATGGGGGCGGTTTGGTTGCGGATTCGATGCGTCCACAGCGGTTGGATTGGCATGACAAAGGTGTTGCTGCACAGGCCCTTCATCTCTCTAGGGGCCTTGAGAAGCCCGGTGGCAAAGTAACTTACACAGTGGTACTTGAGGGGCGATGCAGGTTCGCCGTGAATGAAATGACGGCCCGCGGACCGTACCTTGTTGCCCGTGTCTCCCAGCTAGACATGACAAAGACAGGTAATGGGGTTTTGGATCCTAGAAACAGTTTTCTTCTATCAGAAGTTAAACATATCTTTTTGTTGGAACTTGAAACGGTTTGGAGTCTTTGGACCTTTTCGTTCTTTTTCTTTTTGAGACCTATTGCTGGCCGCTCCATGTATTGGTGGGGAGCATCACCTGCTGGAAAACGGGTCCAGCGTCCCTGCGTACATGAGGAAAATTTGAGCACCATTTCTTGATTTATGCATGTCATCCTTGCAAAGGGGCCATTCTAATCTTCTATGTATTGTTCCAATTTTAGCAGAAGACTATCTTTTTTGACATCTAGGTCGCTGTTCCAATTACAGGGACAGATGAAGAGATACTGGCTGTGGATGGATTTTCATTAAATGTGGACTGTGGACCTTGCTCCACTGTGCAACATTGTAAATGTGTCTGGACTCTGGATCTCGTAGCAGTTGCAATACATTTAAAATGCTCGATCAGTCCGCCTGTATCTGGTCTCACGGCTGGCCAGATACGCTTAGAATGTTGAGTAATGGAGTGAGGTCCGATATCTCTTGATGGATGTGTGGAAGTGGGACGTTGCCTCTTGCACCTGAAACTGCGATTTGGAGAACTCTGGTGATTGCCTGATACCGGATGTCTTGTTGTGTAAATTGCATGGGTCCTGGGGACCATCTCACGCAGATGTGTACATGTCATGCATCATCTTCACWCRCAGTGATCAATAGTYTCAACCATAGACAAAGGTAGAGAAGAAGAGGACCGAGTCTCACAGCTTATATTATCAGAAATATGATTACAAAGTGTTTCAAAGTTCCCCTGAGTCCAGCGCTCATCAGCGCAACACAAATCTCTGCTCAACTCATCAATATGCCTTCCAGGGCATCAGYGCTTCCCCTGCAGATTGTCTCCCAGTCATCAAGATGGTCACAACTGATCAGCGCCAACTCTGCAGTTCACAACCAACTCAGGTAAGTGTCTCCCATAGCCAAACCTCRAATGCACACTCTTCGTCTCAGTCTCCTCCTCCTACGATGCATGCACACACTGTTCTCACAAGGATCTACTCTGAATACTACTCATAGCTAAGTACTAACCCTTCTACCCTACTTACTAACTCGCTGGGCAGCTATGGCTGCATCCCTTCCAGCGCGCAGTCTTCTTCGTCCCTMACAGCGCATCTTCCTTCCTCCAGCGCTACTCCTACCGACTAACGCACAAGCGCACCAGCACTTCCACGCATTCAAGCCAGTGGAGATCTGGCGAGGAATGAGGCTGGCTGCCTCCTTTATACTCCTCGCTGGGTCTGCATTGGCTCAATTCAGCCTCTTTCCTTGTCCCAGACCCTGCATTGCATGTGTCCCAGWAGAGTCCCACTGAAGTTCAACTGCTGCTGTGGCCTCTCGGCCTGTATTTGGACTAGAAAGTCTGGATCTGGACTRACCCCTTGACTTAAACCAGAACTGGGACTGTGCCTATTCACTTTACTTTCAGACAGGCACAACTCTCAACGAACAGACACATTTACTGCTTGAACAAACACTTTACCTTGCACGAACAGGTACACTGCCTGCACGTACAGACACACTCTTACCCGAACAGACATGACATACACATCTCCTGGTGAAGAGGTAAGTCTTTTGACAATGCCCTTTGCCTTAGATTTAGATGTGCCTGTTGATAGAGAACTTGACCTTTGACCTGCTTTCACGTTTCTGAGCTCTGGCGAGATACCTTTTCACAATGCTTTACTTTTTCAAGGCCCGTGCTGCTTTATTTTTACAAGGCCTGAGGCCTATATCGGGTAAAGGCCCTTTTACTCTCGCCGGCCTAAATTCGAAGTCCTCTGAGAATCATTTACCTATCAAGGATATGAATTCCTCTCTTTGCACTTTCGTATGCAGATACAATATGAGGTGCAGATTCTAACAGTTCTTCTCTTGTGAACCAACGATCTTCACTAGGATCCAGGTATGCAAATCTCACCTTATACTGTCGTTGTGGTCTTCCCTTACGTCCAGTGTGGTAAGTACTTTCTGCAACAATTTTATCCACGTCATACTTCCCATCCATACTTGGAGGTATCGCTGATCGGCGACTTGGGAAGAGCTCATTCGTTACACAAGGTAAGAGCTTGAACGCATGGAACACTGGATATGTACGTAGATGAGGAGGAATCTCAATGACATACGAAGGACCATCCACATCTCCAATTACGTCTAGAACTTGCCAAGGTCCTCTGTAGGTGGSTAGAAGCTTCTGAGAGATGTTCTCTTCAGGAGCAAACTCTTTAGACTTCACCCAAACTAAATCTCCTACAACAAATTGAGACGGGCGTCTATGCTTATTTGCCTGTTCAAAAAATCATCTGATGTTGTGCTTTAAGTATATTTTTTTTTACCTTCTCAATGTCTTTTTGATATTGGACTGCAAATTCACTAGTCCCTATAGGAAGCTTATGTACTTGATCCGGGTTCAACCGATCAATGGGTCTGCGTGGACGCCATCCCAGATGTAACTCCATAGGAGTCTTACATGTTGACAGATGTACAGAGTTATTATAGGCACTGGCAACTTTAGGCAGATGTTCATCCCAGTCAATCTGATCGGGACGGATGTACATGCGTAAAGTTTGCTGCAAAATCTTGTTCATCTGCTCAGTCTGGCCATTAGTCTCAGGATGTCTGCCTGACGACATAGTCAACTTAGAGCCATAAACATTCATCAATTGCTGCCATTGTTCACTCGTTCATACGTTGAAGCGGCCACCTTCTCGTTAGGCAATCGGCAACACATAAACTCGATAGGCCTATATCCATGCCCATCGTCTTGCTGAAGGACAACACCTATACCATATTGACTAGCGTCGGTCGTGACTACGAAAGGTAAGGAAGGGTCCGCTACTTTGAGAACCGGATAATTAATCAAACACTTTTTCAGACGCTTGAAGGACATAGTGCAGTCTGAATCCCACTTCCAAATTACTTCTTTCTTAAGTAACCTGCGAAGGGGAGCAGCTATTATCGTAAAGTGTCTTACGGACTTTCGATAATAGTTGGCTAACCCAAGGAACGACCGCAACTCAGTCAAGGTGCGGGGGTTCGACCAATCTCTAATAGCTGCGATTTTGGCATCTTCCGGTCTTACCCCATCTCCTTCAATCACATGGCCTAGGTATAGAACCTGACGCTTAGCCCATTCACACTTCTTTGGGTTTATCTTGAGTTTTGCTTCCCGTAGCTTATTTAGCACAAGTCGAAGGTGCTCAGCATGTTCCTTTTCATCTTTGCTGAAAATCAAAATATCGTCTAGATAAATTATAACAAATTTATCGAGCCACTCACGGAATAGTTCGTTCATTGTTCTTTGGAAAGTGGCAGGGGCATTTGTGAGACCAAAGGGCAGAACTACGAATTCGTAATGTCGTACCTTGTCCTGAAGGCGGTCTTATGTTGGTCTTCCGGCTCAACTTCAATTTGATGGTAGCTGGATTTTAGATCAATCTTTGAGAATACTTTGCTTCCCTGCACGAGATCCAGCAAATCATCTATTCGCGGTAATGGTTCGGCATTTTTCACTGTTATATCATTTAACCTCTTATAATCTATACACATGCGAACGCCGCCGTCTTTCTTAGGCACAAAGAGCACAGGCGCACCATAGGGCGAGGAGCTAGGCCTGATCCATCCATTTTTCAACAACTCGTCGAGTTGGGTTCGCAGTTCATCCAACTCCTGGGGCGACATACGATAGATAGGCCCCTTCGGGGGCGCGCTCCCTGGAATGATATCAATGCGGTGGCGAATTGTTCCTTCGACTACACCGCTCGGGGCTTCAGCCACATCTGCGAACTCTTTCAGGATTCTCTCAATCTCTTGAGACTTAACTTCCTCCTTAGTTTCCCCTTCCTTGACTGGGCGCACATATGCCACAAAGACTTGATCGTACAAGTTATACTTCTTTACATGGCGAGCGAACGCTGGGGCACTCATACAACAGTGAGCTAGGCTGCTTTCCTTTCCAGATTCATGATAAAGGCGAATCTTTTTCTTACATCCCTGCAGACTTGGAAGCCAACATTCATGTTCCCTTAACTTTAGATCCGCATGCGCAGCCTCACCCCTATCCATTCCTAGTAACACATCAAAGGGCAAGTTATCCTCCACCAAGAAGGTCAGAGAGTGGAGAACGCGTTCCACCTTCCCCTCTGCCTCTAGCCGAAAGTATACTTGTACCCCCTCAACGTATCGATCCATGACGGTTTCGCTACTATTCGCCAACTTACTCACAATGGGCTCATCTAACTTCTTAATTTTAAGCCCAAGACGCAGTTTCTGCAACCCTTTTTTACTAATATAACTGCGTGTAGACCCGCTGTCTATCATACCTCCTACTCTAACTCGATTTATCTCTAGATCTGCAATTATTAGCTGTCCTTTCTTCCGTTTCATTTCAGTCCAGGCTTGGCGACGAGCGGCCAACTCATCACCCACGCCAGCGAGGGATCCATCTAGAGAGATGCATACGTTTGCCACCTCTGGACAGTGTACTAGATGGGGACTTCCTTCCTCTTCAGTTTCTGCCATTGGGGCCTTCGAATGGAAGGATTCTGATTTTTCAACATTCGAAGCCCCCGTAGAGGCAACTGACACCTCTACTGGCTGTTATCTTTTGCCCCCCTATAGTCAGGGCAATAGGGGACAATGTGGTCGGGGTCCCCACATTTGAGGCATTGGTCTGCCTTCTTCCTTTCGGCCCAAACTTTTTCTGTGATACCCAACTCTTTCCAAGGCTCTCCTTCGGGTAGGCCTGGATGTGGTGGGTATGGCTTGTCCCATTTGTTGTACCATGAGCCTCTTCCTCTACCCCAGGTGGAGTAAGAACCACGGCCACCGTATGAGGGACCATTTCCCCTTCCTCCCACGTAGTGGCTTCCTTCACCACCACCCCTCTGGGTGCCGAATCCTCGTCCACCACGACCGCGACCTCGTCCTCGGCCACGTCCTCTTCCTTGACGCCCTCCCTCGCGGGTTGCAACAGCCACGTAACTCCCCTCCTGAGCTACCGGTCTGTTGGGTTCATCGAGACCATAGTCAACCTGATCCCAGGAGATGGTCTCGGCGCCTCCTTCTTCAAAGGTTAGAAGAAGACTATCTTTCCCAAGTATAGATCCTGAGATGGTGCGGTTTTGCCATCTCTTACCCGCTTGCAGATCTTTCCAGTAATGGCAATAATTCGCTTCAGCGAGGAAGCTGGCATGATCTATGGCGATCTTGCCGAACTTCTCATATGTCATCCCCTCTTCCTTGGTACGGGGATAAAGTTGTGTTCTTAGAGGATCCGGGAGTTCGCGTGCAAAACTGTTTAAGATTTGGGCCGACGTCAATCCGTGATCAGGGCATTGCAATAGTTCGTCCATGGTTGCTTTTAGTGCAGAGGTACTCTTCCATTTCCTGTCAGGAAGGCTAAGGATTAACATTTCCGTGCGTCTTGCCAAGTTCTTGTCCTCAAATCTGTCTCTAATTAACTTAAGAAAATCTTCAATTCGCGTTTGTTGCGAATACTCTACCATGGAGTTGCATCCCGCTTCCTTTTGCAGCGAGATGGCAAAGCTCATGGCGTCGCCTCCCATGCGCGAGGTTGCCACCAATACCCTGTCCCAATATGGGATGCACTGTCCATACACATAGGTTTCAATTGCCGCCGCCCAGTGCAACACACTCTCTTCTTTCTTTCCATTGTAGGTCCAGGGCAGTTTAAGCTTAATCTTGTTAGTCTGGCTGAGTTCCTGGGAAGGCTGACCCTTTTGATCCTCAATCTTCTTTTTTCCTTTCTTGTCATCATCGCCGTCGCCATCTCCATCTCCCCCATCGCCTCCAGCTCCCTTTACAATCTTCTCTACGACCTCCGGGGTGAAGACTTTATTAATGTGTTCGTCCAAAGCCTGGATGTAAGTTTGCACATATTGGTCAACGTCCTTTGCTGACTTTTCTACGAAGTTATTCCAAACATTCTCAAATTCAACCCGATGTGTTTCTACACGTTGCAGGGTCTGCCGCATTAAGTCCACGTCTTGCCTCGTGTTGAGGACGGCCTCCCTGAGGAGTGCAAGCTGTGCTTCAGTTGCAGAGGGGTTTTCCTTTTGCGCTTCTAGAGCTTTCTGCAATTTATCCCCTTCTGCCTGCAATCTTTTCTTTTCTTCCACCTCTTGCCGTCTAGCGGCCAACAGCCTGCGATTTAGCTCAGCCCGTTTCTCCTCCATCATCAGGTTTCGTTCAACGGTGTCTTTAATAGTGGCCAACTTGGCGATGAACGTATCCCGTTCTTCATCAGTTTCCTTTAGTGGCTCGCTGGAGTAGTAATACCGGCTACCCCAGTCCAATGGTTCAACCGGAAGGCGGGTCGTTGTGCTACTTTCAGGTATGTCTTGGCGACGACGTCTTTCCAACACTTCTCCTTCTTCTTGTTCTTCTTCTTCTTCTTCTTCTATACTCTTCAACTCTTCTTCTAGTTCCCTGTCCATTTTCTCTTTCATTTTCTTTCTTGCTTCTTCTTCTTTCTGCTTTTTCTTTGCTTCTCTCCTTTTCTTTTCTGCCATCTTGCGGTCGATCTCTGCCTGCTCCGCAGGTGTGGGGCCTGGCTTTACTGTTCCGGACCGCATCAGCATGCGGGACGTGCACACACGCCCGAACCCCAGTGGGAACATAAGCCGGAGCAGCGGCCCCAGCAAGACAGAAAGGGCCAACAGGCCCTGGATGGGATAGTCATCCATGATGACTACCGGCACAGGAAACCCTCCGCCGGGTCACCAAGGTACTATCCCACTTACGGACTTGGTCTTGACTTGTGGTAATGGAGTAGTTATACTTTCCTTTTTCTTTTTTCTTTTTTTAACGGTAGAAGGTGCTGCGTACAATCAACAATAGATCAACCTAAAATGAACTTGACTATGTCTATTTTTTTTTTTTGGATGAGCTGTCTGGCCTCCTGGACCGAACTTGTGGCAATGTGTTCTATTTGGCGATATATATATTTTTTCTTTCTTTACTAACTTGCTGGGTGTCTGATGCAGAAATGGAGTACAGCGCAGATTCAGATGGTTCACTTATCCAACCAGGCAGGAATACTTCGTTCCAATGTTCCTGGCTCAACAGGCCCTGTAGATACTCAATATCATCCTTATACTGCCTGGTTCATGCTATCTGACGTGGCACATAGCCACGTTCCACATCAATTATTGGTTCTTGATAACGATACCCAGCCTACCTATCAAGAGGGATAGGAGAGAGACCTACTCCTATTCACAGAATACTGGACCACCTACTCTAGTGTGACCAGTTCCTGGCACACCACACTTGGGTCATCAGACTCTGATGGCTCAGACCTGACATCTATGACAATCCAGATCCAGACTTCGACTCCTGACCAGATCAGCAGCAGTCACCTTCAGAGGGTCAGAGAGAGAGAAGGTAGGGGACACATACATGCATGCAGGTTCAGGGAAAGGAGGTGCTTCTCTCTTCTTGAAGATACCGCCGATGACGCTCCACGACGCTCCGCACGCTCCAGGTAAGTAACTTCGTCAGTTCTTCTTCGACCTGCCTCCTCCACCATACAACACTTCTTCTCCTCCTCCCTCCTTTACTATTCCTCCATCACCATATCTCGCCGGTCTTGATCATGCCAGCGCTATGAGTATAACGAGCATCTGCTCCGATACCAAAATTGCATGGGTCCTGGGGACCATCTCACGCAGATGTGTACATGTCATGCATCATCTTCACTCACAGTGATCAATAGTTTCAACCATAGACAAAGGTAGAGAAGAAGAGGACCGAGTCTCACAGCTTATATTATCAGAAATATGATTACAAAGTGTTTCAAAGTTCCCCTGAGTCCAGCGCTCATCAGCGCAACACAAATCTCTGCTCAACTCATCAATATGCCTTCCAGGGCATCAG